CGTTTAGCCCCGCCCACAGATTCTACAGCACTGCCTGTTTAGCCCCGCCCACAGATTCTACAGCACTGCCTGTTAAGCCCCGCCCATCGATTCTACAGCATTGCCTGTTAAGCCCCGCCCATTGATTCACACACGTAGCGTAAATAACGAAGGAGGCAACTGCAGGTCTACTCGGAAACCAAACGATAAAAAAAGCTCTGAAGGCATGCTGTGGAAAAACAGTCTTTATATTGCTTTCCTTCTGATCCTGACCCAGTCCATTACAGGTGCCGGGCGGTATGATTAAAAGTTTATATCATTGTATTTTTCAAAATTATACCGGTTTCACTGTATATGATGGTATTTATTTTTCTATGTATGACCGGGTGTTAACCACATTTTCTACTGATTGAGAGAGGAAAAACTGCAGTAGATTGACTTAGAATGCCCTTTTTTACTGTCATGAGTGAATAGTGGAAAAATTCCACACTAAATAGTGACTAAACAGGACCCATTAATACATGTTAATCAGGAGTCACTCTCATTCATAATCGCAACATAGTCCGATAAAATCAACATGCATACCATTTTTTTTACGCACCTCATCCCAAACCTTCCTTTGCAAATTCCAAAACGTAATTTTAGAGCTAATAACGGAGGCTTGAGCCATTGATATGCAGGCTAATGCAGTTTTTAGAGAGAGAGAGATATTAAGCGTGTGTGAATACCTGCGTCTGTGCATCTCTCAGCAGTGTTCAGCAGCAGCGTCTACTAATAGAGAATCTTTAATTTAATCTGCTTCAAGAACCTCGCTACTGAGAAATGTCATGTAGCTTTTCAGCTGCAAAACTATTTTATTGATAAATTCGTGGGGCAGCGCTGACAAGAAGTTTCTGTTCGCGTCTCCGTTTGTGTGCGCGAGTGCGTGTCTGCACTGTGTGTGCGTTTGTGAGAGAGACTGGGAGAAAGAAAGCGTGATTTCCATAGCCTACATAAAAAAGCTGGAAGACATGGAAATAGTTTGTCATTTTTGACCCTATTGTTTGTTATATTTATTTGCTCAATGTCTTCTTTGGTTTTAGTTCTTTTACTGTTGTAGATAGCCCATAGTATAACAAAATATTATAGATCTCTTCACTGTGTTTGGGCCCCCCTGGACGAGCGAACATAGGCACGTGCCTAGAATGCCTATGCGTAAATCCGGCTCTGGCTGTACCAGAGACATGCAGTGTTTCATTTCATAAAGTAAAGATATTTACACAATAAGATTAATGTCTTTGCCCGTTGCATTGTTGCACACTGTTTTTTTTCCCCTCCCAGCATTTTGCAAATTTTCTTTTAGTTAAATGTCTCTCAAATTAGTATTTTTCTGGTAATATAATTTGGTATCACTTTATTTTACAGTCCTGTTCCCCATGTACATTTTATGTACATAACGTATTATAGCAATTACAATAACTGGGTAATAACTAGGTACTAACCCTGAACCTACCCCTAAATCTAACTTTAACCCATGTAGTTACCTTACACTACCAGTACTTTCTTGGTTAAGTACACTGTAAGTACACGTATTGTAAAATAAAGTGTAACCTTTAATTTTATAATGAGGAAAAAAAATATTGTATTAAGTTAGAAAAATGCCAAATACACTTTTTTTTCCCCGAGACACAAAGACACCTTGTCTTACGCATTTATTTGATCAAACATACAGTAAAAACAGTAAGATTGTGAAATATTATTACAATTTAAACTCTTTTTTTGTAATTACAATTTAAAACATTTTTAAATACTTGAAACCACAATTTATTCCTATGAATAATGCAAAGCTGAATTTTCATCATCATTATTCCAGTCTTCAGTGTCACATGATACTTCAGAAATCATTCTGACATGCAAATTTGCCACTCAAGATTTTGTATTATTATTATTAATGCTGAAATTTTTTTGTGGACATTGTGGTATATTTTTTCATGATTCCTTGATGAATAGAAAATTTAAATAGGCATCTTTTGTAACATTATAAATGTCTTTACTGTCACTTTTGATCAATTGAATTCATCCTTGCTGCATAAAATAATTACGTAACAAAAATCTACCCTCAAACTTCTGAACGATAGTGCACATGAAATAAAAGTATTTAAAATATTCTGTTAAAGACTCTGTGCTTCTGTATGTTTGGAAATATTTGTCATTTTAATATTATTTTTGCAATTCTGTTTGATGCAGCTATGAACTTCTTTTAGAATGCATAAATTAATCAGCATTATACAATTTCTCACAACTTCAGTTCCAATCTAAAAATCAATAAATATGTGCTGGTTGCTGAGGGAATACATCAACTTCGCGCTGTGGATCGCCGGATAGGCAGCCTTTCCTCTATGAACTTCTTTTAGAATGCATAAATTAATCAGCATTATACAATTTCTCACAACTTCAGTTCCAATCTAAAAATCAATAAGTATGCCAATGGACTCCAGATATGAACTCATTGTGTGATTATGAAGTCGCTCAGCTCAGCTCTATGTATCAGCTCAAGCGCTGTGTGAGTCTTGGGCTGCCTTTGATGCTTTTTAAAACAGCCCCACCACAGCTACTAGACAGCAGGGAATTGTTGTATTGTTTTGTAGCTGTTTGCAGTGAAAATTGTAAACAATATCACACCGTCTAGGACACAACAGCAAAAAGCCATTGCTGTCAAGACAATGCGTATTTCTGTAGACGGTGGACACTTGTGATTCAGAAACGATGCGAGACAGGCTCCATTTTTAATATAATACCCATTATAGATCTTGAAGTATTCACAATGTAGCACTTTATGGTAAACAAAGAGCAGGTGCTGTTTTTCACTCAGATACAGACTCTAATTGTTGCATTATTTGTGTTGAGGCAGTGCGATAATAAAAGAGGCATGGAACATTTCATGCCAGTTAATATTCGTGCAGGC